GATCTGACGGTGTACAATCCATTACACGATCATATTTTTATTATTATTGATTATTTATTTTTAGAAAATAGAAATTATTTGTATTTGGTATATTTTAATTATCAGATCATTTGGAATAAGTTAAATATTAACAAAATATATTTATATTGGGCAAGTTATAATGATGATAATAATAATAATCTTATTTTTTTATTACAACTTGTATCTATGGCATTACGATTATTGCCACTACTAACACCATTACTATCACTACCACTACCACCATTACTATCACTACCACTATCATCATTACCACCACTACCACCATCATTACCATCACTACCACCACAACCCTTTAGAGCTTTATTCCGAAATATTCAAACCTTGCTTGATGTACTATGCCAAAGGTCTATTATTAATAAATAAATTTCTTTATTGTTAATTATTATTTCTCCAATTCTTTGTATTCATAATTATCAAACAATAAATTAACTATTATTATTATTATTATTATTATTTTGAAATTTTGACCATGTAATTTTAAAATTCTAAATAAATTAATAACCTTATAAATCAGTCCCTTATAATTAAAAGCAAAATTTTTCTAACACAACCTTTCAAGTAGTTATAAGCAACTTTATAGGGAACAGTTTGGCACAACTGTTGCTGCTGAATTTGCTTTAGTCTGCATACTGGTTGAGCGATAATCTTAAAATAAGTGTGAATAAAAGAAATGCTTCCGACCTGGTGTAGAGTAACCAATATTTAAGCTAGCCTTTTCTTTTAACTGTTGTTAAAAGTTCCAGTCTGGCTCTAAAAATTTTATTATGGTTGAAAATCGCTTACTACATGAAAAACAGAGATTTTTTTTTTTGAAGCGGACGATAATAATTTTATTCGTGTAACGTTTATATTGAATGACACTTGATCTGCAATGTCCCACGACTAGTAATGAATATATAGTAATTTCCCAATTAATTAATAATGAAATTTTATTTACCTTTGTTAATATTCTAGAGAAAGGAGTTACAATCAAGATTATTTAACGAACTATTACTTGTATGAATTTTCAAGCTTTTAGATTTAGCAATCTCTTCATCTAATATTCTACTTGTATGATATGCATGTGGATGTGATTTGTGTGCTTGTTGTGAATTACCACCATTGCTACTGCTGCTGCCACCATCATCATTAAATTCAATTTTATGGTTTTTGATTTTAGAAAATTTGAATAATCTTTTTATTAAACTATTTTTAAGAATTTCATTATTTTCATTTTTAATAATTTCTTCAAATTTATTCTTGGCAAAATTCCAAAGCTCTCTACTAGTTGGTCTTTTTGATGGATTCACATCCCAACACCTCTGCATCATTTGTAGATAATCGTCAGGCATACCAGGTAGTATTGGTGGCCGTAAACCTTCACATATATCAAAAATTAAACAATGATTGTGAGCTCTATCATCAAATGGTGGATGTCCTGCAAATACTTCCCACATTAACATTCCAATACTATAGATATCAGTTTCTTTTGTGTTCTTTGTGTTATTACCCCTAAGTAGCTCGGGTGCAACATATGATACAATTCCATAGACTTTATTTGATGATTCATCACCAACTGGTCCACATAATCCTAAATCTGTAATATAACAATCACCTCCTTGTACAAGCATATTACCACTATGTAAATCAGAATGGATTAAATCTTTCCGATGTATATCATCTAATGCAGCACATAAATAATAAAATATTGTAATTCTGTCTTTTAATGTTAACTTTTTTTGTAAATAATACCTTAAATTTCCTTCTGAATGATAATTTAAAACTATTGCATAGTTTCCATTATCTAGGAATTTAGTTATACCATAGCAATGAACAATCAACCTGATTTAATTTTACAATAATTCATTGCCTGAAAAGAAATATAAAATCAATTAGTATTATATAATACAGTATTATTTATTTTGTTTTAAATGACAACTACCAACCTCATCAAAAAAGGCTTTTCCTGGATTACTTGAATTGTTTAAACTTTTTAATACTACATTTTCCTTTCCAAAATAACTAAATTCCTTTTTATTTTCATTGTAATCATCAATACTTCCCCTTATCCATGTAGCAGTATAAATTGAACTAAATCCACCTTCTGTCAACTTTGTTATATCTTCAAATTCCTCAAGAGGTATCCATTCTAAAATATGGTTTGGCAGAGATGATTTCATTTGACATTGTTGAATAAAATCATCAATTATGTTATTTCCAGATGTCCAAGTGGTGAAAAGACTCTGTAATTGTAAACCAATACAACTTTCACAGAATCTATCAGAATATCTTGTCAATTCACACTTGTTACATTCTTTTGGTTTGCCCAATTTATATGCTGCATTATTTAATTCAAAGTTATAAATAAATCTTTCCTTGCAATATTCTTTTTCATTTTCAGAAAGCTCCTTGTTTTTTTTGACTAATGAAAAAAAATAATCTTTTCTACCTTCTCTATCAGGATTAACCAGAGCATTATTATACATTTCATTATAAATTTTATATAGAAATTTCTTTCTTTCTGGTGATAACGATAATAGTTTAACAAATGACATTTTATAAAAATACAAAATATAAAATTTGACTTGGTGTTTTTTAGAGTGGAAAGAATAAAGAAAGGTTGACGTGTTACGGTTCCTTTCTAAATGTTGTAATTTTGTGTAAATTTTTATATTTTGTGTAATATTTTTCCCTTCCCCAAATTTGAATGCACGGGAAATATTCTGTTGTAAAGACTTATTAATATTAAGACTTGAAATGGTAAATTCGGTGCAGTTACGAATTTTCCAAATATTTTACTAAACTGAATTGTTGAGGAAGGATGAGATCAAGCCGTTTTTTCTTTTTTTTTGCTGCGCTGGCTTGCAAATTGATTGTTAAACATTTTTGTTTTCAAAAATGATGAATGTTTGTGGTTATTTTACGTCGTCGTATCATGCGAATTCTCATTGCTATCTATTTTTGTTCAAAACATCAGTATTGAATGAAGCAGAAAGGAAATCGTGTTTTGCTTTAGATGTTTTTTTGCGCGGTGTCTATCGTTGACTACCGTTAAGTTTTTGTCTTGCTCTGATATTTCGGACCGTTCAAAATGACCAAAACTCATGGCCTTGACTTGGAGCCTTTACCTCAGATTCCGACTTGACACACAACGTGTAATTAGTATATTTTTGGGTCACGAGACTGGGATTCAAAAACACTTTTTTACATTTACTTTATTGCTATTGTTATTATCAGTCAATTCAATGGTCGATAAACAAACAATATGTACAGATTTTTTTTAATTGTTAGTGTTGAACCAAAAAAAATTTTTTATTTGATTTTGACCATTTGAGAGAGGAAACATTTTCCTTTCGGAGAAAATAAATAAAATTAATTGATTAATCTTTGCAACTTTTGATGTTTGCATGAAGCTTAGCGATATATTTGGAGGGAATCCAATTGACCCATTGACCTTTAATCAGGACAAAAAGATCTTTTTTTTTAGTTAACAAAAAAAACCTGAGTAGTTGATTTTTTTTTTTAACAATCGAAATTTGTAAATAACTTTTGATCACATGAGGGTTCTTATTTGCAAAGGATCTTTTATTAAATTTATTAAATTCGTGAACATTCCTTTTGTATATGTAATTTTTTTAAATAAATAGGTTTTTTGCTAATACAATGAATGAATAAAACAAAAATATTGATAATATGGCTGGCTAATGTTGATGCTCCAAACAAATATATAGATACCTCGTATTTGAATTTAACATGTAAAGCCAAATTATACATAGAACTCCATTTCAACTCGACCCTCGAATTCGAATACCATGAAAAGCAAAACCAATGCACCGTTTTTTTGGTTCACGAGTGGATGTAGCGGTATATTTGTATGTTTTTGGTTGTGATTCATTAGCCTCCTCAATCAATGCCATGGAATAGTCTATTTTTATTGAAGATTGTATCATTGATCATGAATACATGGTGGGATGCTAAGATAGTGTTAATTTTGATGCTCCGAACAAATATATACGCAAGCGATTGAGCCATGTGATTTTATAATATATGACACCAAAAAAATTATATAATACTATCTGTATTTCACGAAACTCGCTGTTACGTTTTCGTTTAAAAACTTGTTTTTCTTTGCGGAGAACTGAATGACAATTTTTTCGTACAACATTTTTACTTTAAGTTTTTCTCTAACAAGATTAATTGAAAAGCGAAAGAACAACTTCATCATCACCAACTCCAGTGATCGAATTATCGTGATTCAACAATAAAATAATTTCAGCATTATTTGAAGATTTAAAAGTGGCAAGAACATGTACCAAAACCTGTCATATGTGTGGTATGTAAAGCTCGTTCTAAGTACCAATATTGATCAACCTATGTTGCTTCAAATTCAGACACTAAAGACAGCTCAAGCATATTATTATTACTATTACACGTAGTTGACTAACTTCAAAAGTCAAAAATGCATCAATTTAACACAATCCATATGTATTAAAGACAATTTGATTATATAAAATACAACAATACAAGGATAGTTTTAATTTTAAAAAAGAAGAGGCATTTTTATTTCGAAAGAAATATACGGGTCATTGCACATCAGACCCTATATTAGGTAAAGATTATGATCCGGAACTTCATTTCAAATATAACACAAATCTTCTGTTCCAAATCATGGTAGAGAGTTGGTATAGAATCAATATATGGCATACTATCGATATCGTGTATGTTCCTTATCATTTTTTTTCGTTGGGTAAGTAAAAGTTAAACAATTTATAATTGCTTCCCACTTAATGCTTAATGTTTAATGACAATATAGAGGAAAGAGCATTACAAAGATTCCAAGGCGATTAGTAGGAAAGATAGATGATGGCTGCGTAAGATCGTTTTGTTCACCCCAGTAAGTGATGATGATCTTGATTGTTCCATCAGTAAAAAACATGTGATGGATTTTTGGGGCCATATTGGTTTAATAATTACATGAACTAAACTTTGGGGGAAAACTTGTGCTCAAAATTAAAGTAATTGATAAATATCAAACTGTTTATTAATTAATTAATACATTCATTTAAACCATAAACATCATCAATATTTTTATGAATTAAAAAACCCTTTGATGATTCTTTAGATAAAAGTGGTAATACATCCAAGCCTTTATAATTATAAAATAGTTGCTCTAATTTATTTAGGCAGCCATCTCCTTTAATTGAATGAAACGCAGTCGTAGTAGAAGAAGAAATTGGGGTAATATAAATACAAAATATTGCATCATATCCTCCCGCTAATAATGACAATGACAATATAAAAAATCATTAATTAATTAATTTATTTATTTTCGATTAATTAACTATTATTATTAAATTTGTAACTTACCACCAGGAACACCACTTAATACCACACCAGGTATTTCATTACATAAATCTAATAATTTAGTTTGTTCAGGTGGTTCAATTGGTACTTTTGACAGTTTTGACATTTCTCGTAATAATTTTCGTATATTCTTTAAAATGAAATAATAATATGATTAGATTCATAATCCTAGAAAAAAAAACAATAATAATATGTATTTTTATAAATTACTTGGAATGTTGTATATATCAATGATAATAATCTTATAATGTAAGATTCATTTGGATTTTTTTCTGATATTGATAACCACTAGAATTATTAAAAAAGTCATGTTAATTGATATTCTCTTCTTTAAATACTTTCTTCTTTTCTCTCCAAGAGTTATTATTATTATTACAAACCTCAGATGCCTTAGAATTAGAACAGATTTCAATAGTATTACAATATAATTTTTGATCATTATCATATTCTTTTGTCAATTTTGTTAAATTATCGGCAAGAAATTTGTTGTATTTATTCAATTCTTCCCATAATTTATTTGCTAAAAAAAAAAATTAAAAAATTTTTTTATTTGTCTGCTCATTTGAGAAAAAAAATCAAAAAATCCTAAAAAAAACCTTGCTCAGGATCATTTTTACGCCATTGTAATACTTTTGAAACCATACTGGGAGTATTCGATCCTGTATCAATGTCTGCAAGAATTAAATTAAATCCTGGTGGTAAAGAAAATGGCGAAACTTGATTATCCCATCTAAATATAACTTTAACATTAATATAATGATAACAATAACAATTATAATAATAAATTTACCAGATTCACTCACTTATTTAACATAGGATCGATAATTGTGTTAATCTCTGTAATATTTGGCTGAATAATAATAAAAATTATCAGAATATATTTTAACAAAAAAAATTTTTTTTCTCCTTTTATATTATATATATATATATATATTAGAAATGTTTATACCACATTTAAAACATTTTCTAGTATACTAGTAGAAAATCTCTTGTAAGTATGACTTCCCCATACACCAGCTGATACATCAAATCCTGATCCTATTTTACCTTGAGCAAAACAATGACAAAACTGTGCAACGTTATGAATTAATGTTCTGGAATAATTATCATCTACGTCTTCTTTGTTATTGATTAAATTAAAATGAACGAATAAAGCTGTAACAAATGATGTTATCAATGCTGCCGAAGATCCTAAACCTGTTTTATGAACATTTTTCAAGGTTTTGTTTAATTTACAAAATGGTTTGAGTGATCGTAATGATGCCAAACTAATTTCAAGTCCTTGATTTTTCAACTTGTACACGTACGTATCCATAAAAAGAGGATCAACTATTAATTCATAATCATTGATATCATTAATAATTAAAGATAAAAAATTACCTACTTGTTCTCGTTGTGAATAGAAATCATTGCTTCCAACTATAAATATATTTAATCCTTTTTCTAATATCTTTGAGAATGATGAATAATCAATTCTCTGAATAATAATTGACAAAGCAAATTTGAGTGTCACATCAATAAATGTGTTATTTCCGCTCTCACTAAAAATAAATTTATTTAAATTTAAAATTTACTATATAATTCATTTAAATAATTTGCTATGATAATTTATTTATTTGCATACTTTGAGTTCAATGTCATCAATTCACATTGTCTGATATCTTCTTTATTGTTATAATCATTAATTATTACTTTATATTCCCACTTGGTATTATTGAATTGAGGTGAAATGACATTAATTTTCCAACTATTGTCATTATTACTATTGCAAAAAGTATTTTCTGCTTCAATTTTTTTAATCACTGTATAAAATCTTGAATCAACCGCAACAACTAGACCATCATAGTTTCTATCTAGAATCAAATATCCACCTGCGACAAGTACTTTTCCTGGCGTTGATACAATAGTAGACGTCATAATAATGATTTATTTCTGGTTCCTGGATACGCAGCACTTCCATTATTATTATGAGCCGCGGGGCGATCTCGTCATAGTAATAGATATGTTACTATTACCCTAAAATTTTACAATATTAAGAAATATTCGAGATTCACCGTAATTTTAAACCAATAGAATTAGATACATAAGCATATAATTTAAACATAGAAATATCCATTTTCTACCGGTGGATGTTAGCAACTCCAACACCATTAACTACAACAAAATAAATAATTTATTATATCAAAATGTTAAACAATCCAATCGTTTGTAAAGATGGCTGCTCGATTAATTGCGGCATATAAAAATTAATCGTTTAATGGTTTGTCAGAAATACTTATCACGTTGACCATGACTGTATTAGTAATAAAATTACAATTATGTAAATATATATATACACACACACACAGAATATAATAAATAAGATATGAATTAAATTAATCTTCTAATTGATAAATATTGCTGATATTTAATTTTTCCAATAACTCGATAGCTTTAGGTTGATCTTTTAAAGCAGCCAGCTTTAAATATTCTAAACCGCGTTTTTCATCAATTTTCACACCTAATTTACCATTATAATACAAATCGCCCAGATTGAATTGTGCAACTTCGTTACCATTATCGGCCGCCATTCTTAAATATTTCATGAATTCTTCTAGATCAAATGATGGCCCATCTTCATCACATAAAATTTTAGTATAACATAATTGTGCTCTTGCTACACCTTTATCAGCGGCCTCTTTAAATAATTCAGCAGCTTTATCTAAATCTTTTTTTACAACAATACCACGCCAATAATAATTCCCTAACCAAAATTTTGCCATTTTATTGCCTATATCTGCATGAGCTTTGAAACATTCATACGCCTTTTCTTTTTGACCCTGTTTATCTAACGCAAGACCATCTTCCAATCTTAATATAGGGCTAATATTATCTGAATCTATAGTGTAGAATCCTTTTCTTTCAGATTCATCATTATGGGTATTACAAGCATTATTATTATTGTAATCATCATTATAATCATTACTGTTGTTATTATTATGACTGTTATTGTTGTGATTATTAAAATCTTTACCATGATTATCATCATAATTATTATTATTATTAATGCAATTACTTGGCGTGCTTGTTGTAGCAAAACCATTAAGGGCTACTGATGCGGTAGCAGTGTTTGTTGTTATCACAGAAGTTGAGATACCATTATCATTACTATTATACTTATTGTTATTAAGGACATTAATGTTTTTGGCAAGAACCATAGATGATGATATTCCTGAAACATTAGCAAATTTTGTACAAATTTTTTCTAAATCATTAAATAAATAATTTAATTCTGGCCTCAAAGTTGGATCATGCTGCCAAGCTAAAAAATTTAAGAAAATACAAAATATTAATTTAAAAAAAAAATTTAACATGTGATGTATTTATTTATTAAAATAAAATCATTTTACCAGAATTAACAATTTTTCCAAATTCTTTTTCTGGCAAATCAAGTGTAAAATCTAAATGTTCTCTTTTACCACTTAAAACATGACTTTGTATCTGTGAAAATTCCATATTTTTGTAAGGTAATTGTTGAAATGCCAATTCCCATAAAAGCATCCCAAAGCTAAAATGATAATTTTACTTTTTATTTAATTATCAATATCATATTCAACAGTAATATCAATATTCGAGATCAATGTCAATAAAATATACCTAAATATTTCACATTGAATAGTATATGGTGCATATTTAGATGGTTGCATTTTTTCAGGAGCTAACCAACGAATAATTTTTTTCTGGTTTTCAATTTTAATTGTATTGTCTTTAAGATCCCTACTATAACTGAAATTTGTAATTTTTGGTTCATAATTTTCTGTAATCTATAAAAAAAGATAGTTATTTAGTGTAAAGGCAACAAATATCTAATATCTGATAATTAAAAACTTGCCAAAATATTTTCACATCTAATATCATGATGAAATATATCACAACCATTTAAGAATATAATTCCACGACAAATATTTGTGGCAATTCTAATTTTTAAAGGCCACTTAATGTGATTTTTTTCATAAAATTCTTTCAAATTACTAAACTCAGCCCATCCAACCACCATACGATCAATTCCATTAATCTTAGTTAGTCCATGAAAATTTATAATAAATTCACAACTTGCTAAATTTCTTAAAATGGCTAATTGAGCATTAATCCTGTGTGAACCAGGTTTGTCATCATCAGGTAAGATAATGGTATCACATGCAACATTACATCCTAAATATCTTGCTTTAAGTAATTTTTTATCGTGAGTAGAACTTTCGATTTTTATTTCATTGGGTGGTATTTTTTTAATTGGAGGTGAAAAATCTTTATCTTTTTTTTTATCTTGTAATATTAATACATGTTCTAACACGTGACTGATTTTTTTATCGATTGTTGTAACACCAGCTTCAATTGTTTGCAAGAACTATTATTATTGAAAAAAGAGGAATATGTAAATTATAAACATATATATTTTTAATTGATAATGAATAATATCAATAATAATACCAAATCTCTCATACCTTTGACATTTCAGCAATATCATTATTTAAAACTTCAATCTCTTTTTTCCTATCTTCATCACTTGCAATGATCATTGTAAATCCTAAATCATGAACTACTCTATCAAAATCATTAATCAATCCAATAAATCTTTCTTTAATAACATTATTAGAAATAAATTTTTTGTATTGTGATAAACGTGTGAAATCTGTCATAAAAGCTTCAATGTCTCCTAAAATAGTGATAAATCTTTCAAAGTTTATATAATAAGTTTGTTGATGAAAATTTTCCTGATTTTCTTGTTTGCGTCTATCCAATACTTTAACTGCAACTTCGGCTGATTGCACTCGTTGAATCAATGCTGCACAACTTTTTTTATTATATTGAGCATTATCATAAGCCTTGACAATTTTTGCTGTCAAGGTTAATACTGATGAAATCAATGGCAAATATGGCATGGCGGCTATTTGTATAATATATAATATAATATAATATAATAATTAGATTATTAGATTATTAGATTATTAGATTATTATGATCTTTTAAAATAAAGGTTATATTTATTACCTTCGCCGATAGCACCAACAGTTCCAATAACTAATTTGAAATGATCATTCGTGAGATTTGAAATATTATCTTTATTTTTAACAATTTCTCCAATTCCTCCTGTTGCAGTAGAAATTTTTTCAGCAACAATTCCTACTTTTTTAACCGAACTTTTATTTTTTCCCATCATTATTTTTAAAAAATTCAGTCATTGATATAACGTTACACGTATGATTTTAATATTTGACATCGTTAACAAATGAACATTACTAATTAAGTATTTTTATTTTTTCTTCCTTCCTATTTTATATTATTATAACAACACATTTTTCTTACAAGATATTAAAATTAATATAATTAATATGGAGTATACAAAATTGTAATCGTGTTACATGGGATTACAGGGTTCAAAATTTAGTGTACAGTCAAACCCTCGTTACAACGGGATCTAAGGGACCACTGACCACCTTTCGACTGTAGTTTGTAATTTTTAAAAAAGGAATTCCTTGTCATTAATTTTTTTAAAGGAAATTAATCCTTTAATTAATTAGTGATTGTCATATTGCATCATATTGCATGTCAATAATAAAATATTGAATGAACTTTACATTCATCAAAGTTGATCCTGATTTCCATTACCTGACAAACGGGAGGAATGGTGTCAGAATTTCATATGTTTTGGTGCTAAGTGGAAATTTTTTTGCCTTTGGAATCCTATCTTTCGTATAATTATTTAGATGGATATGTCTATTTGATTATTTTAATCAAAGATCAGTATTAAAATAAACAATAAACAAACAATTTTACCCCAAAGATTTACAAGTAACAAATTTTCTAAAATAAATCAATACAAACAATTGATAGTTGTCCAATTGCTAGTAACAACCTTTTCCAAGTTTCTAAAATAAATCAGTAAACAAAAAATTGATAGATTATTTATCATTATTGAAAAGAAAAGTGAAATTATTAGTTAATGAAAAACTAATACAACCAAATGTTACAACAAATAATTTTAATTTTCGCATGTATAAAAAATTTTTGCCGATCATCACTTTGCCACAACGGATTTCTTGTCATAACAGATTTTTTTGACCATGAATTCGTTGCGGCGAGGTTTGATTGTAATGTATTAATTATATTAATTATCTTCAAGTAAAAATTACAGGAAGCTCCCACATTTTTGTTAAAGTAAAAAGAAAGTTGATATAACTTCTACGAAGAACAGGTAGAACAAATGGTATATGTAGAGTAGATGGAGATATATTGGTATCTTGTTATTGATTTCCCTCAACTCATCTAGTTGTTTTCAAAAATTCTATTTTTAAATTAGAATGTTTTTTAACGCTCTAAATTTACATACGAATAAAACTAATACCACTTACCTTGAGAGCTCATGAGCAAAGAATTAAAAATAATTTGGCATTTAATAATTGCTTAGCTACGTAGCTGATCATTATATAAATCACATGACTACATTCTACCCTTAAACGCCTCAAATGATTATCGTGATTCATATATTATTAGTAAGCCACACACAAATTAATAGATCTTTTAATCTTTTAATAATTAAAAAGTATGAGTACTTTTGGCAATATTTTTCGCGTGACAACCTATGGTGAATCTCACGGGAAGTCTGTTGGTTGTATAGTGGATGGTTGTCCTCCTGGTTTACCTCTTATAGAAGCTGATATTCAAAAACAATTGAGTAGAAGAAGGCCAGGTCAGAGTAATTTGACGACACCTGTAAGAATTAAAAAAAAAATTACTTTTAAAAAATTTTCATTGATTTTAAAAGTTATTAAATTTATATACCTTTGTGTGTGTGTATGTGTGTGTGTAGCGAGATGAAAAAGATTTGGTTGTTATACAATCAGGAACTGAATTTGGTATAACACTTGGAACACCAATTGGTTTACTGGTACCAAATCAAGATCAACGGCCTCATGATTATTCAGAAACTGATTTATATCCAAGGCCAAGTCATGCTGATTGGACCTACTTACAAAAATATGGTGTAAAGGCTAGTAGTGGTGGTGGTAGAGCATCAGCAAGAGAAACAATAGGTAAAAAGACATAACAAATAGATAAATTAATAAAAATCAATTTAATAAGTTTAATAATTAACTGTTGATTAGGAAGAGTGGCAGCAGGAGCTATTGCAGAGAAATATCTTAAAATGGTTTATAATATAGATATTGTAGCATTTGTTTCTTCAGTCTCAAATATAAAAATGCCTTTTATCAAAGAAATAGACTATCATAATGATGATGATCAATTATATTCACAAGATTTTTGGGATATGTTAAACAGCATTTCTAGAGATGATGTTGATAAAAATGTGGTTCGATGTCCTGATAAGGAAATTTCAGAAAGAATGACTCAGGTTTAAAAATAAAATTTAATAAATATTTATGCTTCATAAACTCAACAATATAATAAATTCCAAAAAATTTATTTATTTTAGTGTATAATTAAAGCAAAAGAATCTAATGATTCTGTTGGTGGAACTGTAACATGTGTTATTCGTAATGTGCCATCAGGATTGGGTGAACCATGTTTTGATAAATTAGAAGCTAAATTAGCACATGCAATGCTTTCAATCCCCTCTACTAAAGGATTTGAGATTGGAAGTGGCTTCCAAGGTACAACTTTGTATGGTCATCAACATAATGACCCTTGGATTAAAAAAGAGAATAATGTATTTGGAACTAAAACTAATCATTCTGGTGGAATTCAAGTAAATAACTTTTTCATTATCATTCAAAAGATTATGATTAGAATAATTTGATGTTTGTTACCACCAGATTAAAAAATGTTAATGATAATAGGGAGGAATCACAAATGGTGAAAATATTTATTTTAGAGTTGCATTTAAACCACCAGCAACCATTTCTCAAGAACAAAAAACTGCTACATATGATGGTGTTGATGGAATTCTTGCTGCAAGAGGTCGTCATGATCCTTGCGTTGTACCACGTGCTGTCCCAATTGTTGAGGCAATGGCTGCTTTAGTTGTTATGGAGTAAGTTAATGAAAAAAATTTGAATTAATTTATATTTATATTTATATTTATATTTAATATAAATTATTTTCAAATATCTTCATTCAGTGCACTAATGATTCAACAATCACGTAAAACTGCTGCATCACTACTTCCACAAATACCTAATATACCTGTTACAATGTTAGGTGCTGTTCCAATAAAATCATCTAATGAAACAACAGAAGATAAAGACTTATAATTTAATTTTTTTAAAAAAATAAATTTTATAATACTATTATCAAGAACAACAAACAAATAAATGGATAACAAGTTTTTTAAGATACATATTTTAATAAATTGTTAATATTTATTTAAGAATTATTTGTTTGGTTTAGGCTGAAATTTTATAATGGTAGACAGAATTGATTGATCTTTTGGATATTTTAATTATTTGTAATAATATAAAGATGAGTTTTTTTTCAATATTTATCAAATAAATAGATGATTTATAAAGTTTTTTCAATTTATTGAATTCAAAGTTTTTATTGCAAATATTTATATAATCAATAATAAAATCAATGATGATAGTATAATAATATAATAAGAATCTAACGCAATATATTATACCATATATGTATATGTATATGTATATATATACTATATATGTAAAAAAAACACAGAGACCAATTTATGTTATACTAATCAATTTAGTGAAAAAAAATTTTTTTTTTAATCATCACAATCATTAGCCTCAGTACCAGCGTCTTCAATAGTATTGCTATCTTCATATTCATCTTCTTCATTATTGTTTTCAGATATCATAAGGTTTTGGTTAGAAGGTTTAATAAGAAATGGTACAACAACATAGTGTGTTGATACTTGTAACATCATCAATCAAGTCTATGAAATTTTCCAAATTGTTATTATTGTTTTGGAATTTGAAGGCTTATTAACATTAAACATTTTTTTTGTTTTTTTGCTCTTTCATTTGCTGAAGTTCCTCAAGAATACCAAGGTCAAGATTAGGCATTACATTCATTCTGTTTTGCAATTCATGCTCAGTATCATACACATATATTTGAGCAAACTGAGGGTGAACTTCATTATCAGGAAGTATTGTGTCTACGCTATAATACATTTCACCATGAACACGAAAGCTGTAAATGCCACTTGTTCCTGTTATACTATGATCAACCTTTGCACCCATAGACGTAAAAGTCAAAGCTGAATTATACAACCTAATATTTTTCCTAAATAAACGTGCACTTGGATCTGTTCTAGTAAGAAGAGTGTTGAGAGGATATGGTAATTCCTTAATAAGAAGGAGAGAAACCCTGCCTTTGACACAACATGTTGTGAAAACTGGTGATCGCATAGATGTGCCTGTTTTTCTTTCATCTATCCACAACAATTACATCTATGATTCATGCTTCCCAGAGAGTGACAGTCTAAACCTTGTGAAGACCATGGATAATACGTGTTTTTAATGTTTTTAGAGGAACAGTAGTCAGAGGAATAACTACTTCTTGCTCAGTGGGGGTAGTCACGTTATCTTCTGAGGTAATGCTAAAACTTGGATCTAAAAATTGGTCAAGTCCCGTAGAGCCTTCAGAATCCATATTTCTTTTGTTTTTACGATAACACTGTTGTTGTTCACAATTAAGTATTTGTTGACATTCTTCGGAAGTCTCATCTATAGTGTTACTAACTTCACTTTGCATATTCTCCTGATTGATCAAGATCCATAAAGCCTTCAGAATCCATATTTCTTTTGTTTTTATAATAACGCTGTTGTTGTTCACGATTAAGCCTTCGTCGACGTTCTTCGGAAGTCTCATCTATAGTGTTACTATATACAACCTTCTTTTCTCCTGGGTGGTCGAGTCCCGTAGAGCCTTCAAAATCCATATTTCTTTTGTTTTACGATAATGCTGTTGTCGTTCACGATTAAGTCTTTGTCGATGTTCTTCAGAAGTCTTGTTTATAGTGTTATTTCTATTAAGACTAGTGTCGTAATCCAAAAAAGGAAAAAGTATGGTTGCAAAAGTGGTCGCAAAGGTAATTGCAACCACTTTTATATGCCATAAATACAATTACTACCATCATCATAATTTACGGCACTAGTCTTTAATTTCTATCCATAGTATTATTTTATTTTCTTGCGTGTTATTTTTAAAATCTATCTATATTAGTATAGCTCAAGTCATCTAAAAACCGACCAATTTTATTCAGCATTTTTGAAGCCCATCACATGGACACACAGGGCACTTTTGGACTCAACCCCTTCATAGTTTTGTCTATGAAAAGTTTGATGTAAAATATTTATTACTTAAAAAGTTATGGTGGTTTGAATAGTAACTTTCTATATTTTAAATAATGTTTACCCTAAATTTGTCACCTCTTTCATGGATTGTTAACTATTAAGGGTGATCTTTTTCCAAAATTTTTTTCTTTAGGATCATCCCCTATTTCATATTTAAGAAATTTTATTTCCTAAAATTTGAAATTTTGCCAGTTTACTTATAATGGTCAGGTTTAGATGACTCGAGCTGTAAAGGTCATGAAAATAAATTGTCTAACTATCTATTAGTAATTGATAAAAGTCACGAAAAGTATGCAAACGTGTAATATTTGAAATTTTATTGTGGAAATTTTATTGTGATATACATTTGCACTATTACACAATTTAAAAATCATTTACATGTGGTAGTCTAAACGTTACATATTTATTTACGTGCGTGACAACATATTTATTTGCGTGCGTGTGGTAACCCAACGGATACAATAATAGATAGATTGTGACACACGTTTGCATTATTGCACAATTCAACAAGGTAAATAATCCCCACCTTGTATTGGAACATTATAAAAACATCACCAATTCACTTAATTTTCGGGTAAAAAAATTCAAATAATAAATAATTTTCTTTTGTCTTTTAATTCATTTGTCCGTAAAAAAATTTTTTAATTGCAAGTCATGTGCCCACTAATTTATCATTGGTCCAAATTATTTATTGTAACAATTACGATCTAAATCAATAAAAAAAAAAATTCTTTTTAAAAATTCATTTTTAAATTTTTTTAATTCTAAAAAAAAATGGCAACGATCGAAGAGATTAGGAAAGATAAAGGAGTGGCAGAAGAAGAGTACAAGAAGGCGGTGGAGAAGTTGGAGAAGTGGGAAGAGGGAGAAGATGATGGGAAGTGGTTGCAGAAGTTGAAGAGAAAGTTGGATGTCAAAGAATGGGGGAAGACAAAGAACAGAAAAAAAGGTGGGAAGAGTCGGTAAAAGAATTGAAAGAGGAGGAGGCGAGACTGGTGAAGGATAAAGATTATTGGAAGAACCAGGTGGAGAAGCTGCGGGATATGTTGTTTAAATATGGTAAAGAAAAAGGTAATGAACAAATTGCATAAAAAAATATACAAAAAATTATTTTTCGTTCATTCATTTATTTATTTTTTAATTCGTGATACGTGATAGAAGTAGATAAAATTCTGAAAATTAATTAACAAATTGTGGGGGGTCATTACTATAAAATGGTTACAATTGACCAACTTCCAAATTTTTTCTACCAGCACACATGATAAATATTACACAAAATATTAAATAATATGATGCAATAAATCTCAACCATTATTTTGACATATTTTTTATCATTGTTTACAAGTTTTTGACTTTGCTACTTAGCAACCCTGGATTTCAGAAAACATGGCGCAGTATGCACTAGTGATGTTAGCCGGCTAAGAAATTTTTAAACGGCTTAGCCGGCTTGAGCCAATCAAATTCCATTCTCAAAAATAA